AGGATCAATTAAAGCCGTATCGGTGGGTGCCGGCACTGACAAGCCCCCTCTGAAGGTACAGCTGGGATTTTTATCGATAATAGGATACAGGCAGCAGCAGAGGGCCGGGGGGGAGCGCGGCGGGGACCGGGACGGGGCGGGGGACGGGGACGGGGCGATCGCCCCGTCCCCGTCCCCCGCCCCGTCCCGGTCCCCGCCGCGCTCCCCCCCGGCCCTCTGCTGCTGCCTGTATCCTATTATCGATAAAAATCCCAGCTGTACCTTCAGAGGGGGCTTGTCAGTGCAGGCACCCACCGATACGGCTTTAATTGATCCTTTCGTGACCCGCGGGTCGGCACCAAAAACCCTCAGGAACCACCCTGGAAATGGAGAAGCTTTGAACATGGGATCTGTGCATCATCTGTACCTGCATCCCCGGCAGCAGTGGGCAGGGGGGCGGGATTCTACCCCTCTGCTCCGCTCTGGGGAGACCCCCCCCCAAGGTGCTGCCTCCAGCTCTGGGGCCACCAACAGCAGAAGGACATGGAGCTGTTGGATGGGGCCAGAGGAGGCCCCGGAGATGCTGGGAGGGCTGGAGCCCCTCTGCTGGAAGGGGGGGCTGAGAGAGTTGGGGGGGTTCAGCCTGGAGAAGAGAAGGCTCCAGGGAGACCTTGGAGCCCCTTCCAGTCCCTCAAGGGGCTCCAGGAGAGATGGGGAGGAGCCCTTTATTGGGGAGTGTAGCGATAGGAGAAAGGATAATGGGTTTAAACTAAAAGAAGAAAGATTTAGACTGGATCTCGGTAAGAAATTCTTTGCTGTGAGGGTGGTGAGACCCCAGCCCAGGTTGCCCAGAGAGAGATGGGAAATGCCCCATCCCTGGAAATATTCCAGGCCAAGTTGGACAGTGCTCCAAGCGACCTGATCTAGTGGAAGATGTCCCTGCTCATGGCAGGGGGTTAGACCAGATGGCTTTTAACAGTCCCTTCCCACCCAAACCGTTCTATGACCTGTCAGTACCAATGGACAGGTTCTTCATTCAGTCCAGGAAGAATAATTGCTCATAGCTCTCACCAGACACGAAGCATGTTTTGGTTTATCTTAAATAAGTTTAAATGTTTTAGACAAAATTGACAGTTCTTTTCCCGCTGAGGTTTGAACTGGTTGGGCTGGGTTTGGTTCCAGTTAGCCCAAAGTATCCTTCTGGTGCAGTGGAGGTCGCAGAATTGAAAATAACACATTTCCTACCTCTGTGTAAGCGCTTTTCTCTGCTGTGCAGTAATTTGCAGCATGCATTACAGCATGCATTGCATCCCAGCACGCAGAGATTTGTGATGGCAATACTTGGATTGAGTTGAATGCAGGATGAACGGAAAAGTCCATGTGAGCAGCAGCAGCAGCAGCAGAAATGATAAGTGAAGGAGAGAGGAATCCCATGCGTCGGCAGCCGCGGACGGGAGCGCGGTCGGTGCTGAGCAACGTCCTGCTTCATCCTGCCAGTGGCTCCGGTGGCTCTTCTGCAGGGGACACGAGTGCTGGTAACAGGACAGCAACAGGGTCACAGTACACTGGATGTGGCCATTCACTTCTTTTATTTTTCCATCCAGATGACAAACTTTAGCCACAAGGCACCTAAAAAAGGAGCAGAGGAACCTCAGCAGGTCATGGACCGTCACAGTGTGGACACGCTGACACGGTGGCTGCAGCCTCCCAGTGACTGTCTCTGCCCGAGCTGCTGTAAACATTTCTAGCGTGGAAAGTGTCTGCCTGACAGAGGCTGCCTGGTAACTGGGGCTGAGAGGAGTTATCTCTGCTTCAGCTGTGTATGAAATACATACAGTTTACTTCAATTATTTAAAACTGTAAATTCCAGCGTGTGAGTCCCGGAGGAATGTGTGACTGGGGCTGTGTGGTGCCTGCAAACACTCCGAGAGGTCCCTGCTGTCCGGGAGAGGAGAATGTGCAAAAGAACCAGCCACAGAGACAGAGATATCTCAGAGGTGAACAGGAAGAAACCCAGAACACGGGCTGAAGCTGAATAACATCTGTATTTATGATGATAATAATGATTATACAGAAAACAGCAAAGAAGAACAATTAAAGAAAGGGGGAGAAATGCCAGTTATCTTAGCCCATAAGCACAGGAAAGCCCCACCCTTGCCACTTGCCCAGGAGCACGGAACTCTGAATTTCCTCCGATAAATGGCCTGTGTGTGCTCCTGTGCAGCCGGGAGGCACCTCGGGCTGGGAGGGAAAGCAGCACAGGGCTTGTGTCACCTCTGCGGCTCGTACCCCACCGTCCCTGGCTACCTGTTACCCAGCAACTGATTCCTACAAAGCACTTAATCCAAGACAATTATTTCTCTGGGGAAATGCATGCTTAATAATCCCAGGGTAAACCAACCTTTCTGCGTCCAGGCATTGCTGTTCCTGGTATTTCACCTTCCCCTGTTTGTTTCTGTCTTACCCCAGCCATTCGCTTTTATCCTGGCTACTGGCATCAGCCTCCATGTCTAACACCCACCCCAAAGGTGAGCCCTCCTGGCACAGACCACCCTTAAGGAGCCCGTCGGTGGCCGGTGCTCCCTGCGCTGCTCCCTGGGCTCACTGGTGACTGGACTGGCAGCTGCTGGGGGGCCTGGGCACCCCCTCAGCTCCAGCACATGGGGGGGCTTCTGAGGTGTCAGTGTCCAACTCCGGGAATTCATTCAAACTCCCAGAAATGAAAAGGTTCTAATTTCTTAAAAGGAAACAGAAACCCGCGTGATGCTTTTCTTGGGATGTTAAGTAAAGAATTCGCTATTTAATAAATTTAATCCTTGCTGGTAAATCTTGATTCCTTTCAGTTCAAAGGTGCAATGTTCTTGCAGCAAAGTAACTCATTAGCAAATGACCGTTAATGTCATTACACCTATTGCTGCTCCAGCGATGTATTCATTAATTATTGTAGGGGGGATACGTGGGGGGCTTTGCAGCCTGTGAAAATGGGCGGAAGTGGTATTCAAGCTGGGAACAATTGCTCAGAAGCCATACTATAGCGAGAGGGGCTTTGGGATTAGAGGTGATTGTGTTTTCACTCTTTTCCTGCCGTAATCAGGACAAATACCAGGCACAGAGTTGCCGGGAGGGCTGCTAAGGGGGGTCCAGCCTTGCTCCTGAGCCCTGTCCTGGGGTCCCTCCAGTCTCCCTGGGCTCTGCTCAGCCCCAGAGCATCCCACCAGTGATGTTTAGGTGGATTTACCTTTTGGGACCTGAAATGTAGTCTGCTGAGGACGCTACGTTTATCATGTGCTTCTGCTCCTTCTCATTGCTAAAGCGTTAGGCATCTGGAAGAGAGAGGAGAAAATGGCATTTGGTATCAAGCTGATGCACAAACCCAGTACTGTTTGCGTGAATAAGACAGTAGGAGTCAAAAGGTGAATTAAAAGCCCAGGGATCTCATGAGGGCTTACCATAACTTTTGGGTCAGACATAATAAGGAATCCTATTAGAGACAGATTTTGTGCCGTATCTTGTATTCTAATTAGTGCTGAACTAAAGGCAAGGAGATTTACAAATACAGAGGTGTTAGGCAGGGCTGTTCTTTACTTAGAAAGTTGAGCTTTCTCAGTGAAAATCACTCCTTTCTGAACTATCTTTTAAAAGGCAACTCTTTTTCCCAAGAGACGAGATTTGGTAGGAGCCTGAGTGCACGTTCTGCCTTCTGCTGTGAGACAGGGCTCCATGGAGCCCCTGCACGTCGGCAGTGCCAACACGTCTTCGGAGCAGTGAGACACAGCAGGAGGCTGGCATGGAGGAATGAGTCCTTGTCAAATGAGTGGGTTATTACAAAATGAAAGCGCACAGTTTTATCATAGGATTTATCTCAAGACCATTTCTTCTGGAAAGAAGATGAAGTGGTTTTGAAAACCAGCCAAAGTGGTTAACATGAAATTGTTGCTTCCTTTCTTAGTTCATCTCTTGAAGGAAGAGAAGTGATGAATGATTTAACAGTCACAGCAGAATTTTGTAAGAGCGGCCAGTCCCGCTCTGTGGCTGGTGCTAATGACATGGCACCCAACACCTTTTTTAGCACAAGGGCTGCTGATGCCCCTCGGGGCTGAGAAATGGCTGCCCACGCTCCCCTTCACTCGGTGGCGATGTGACCAGGCTCACGTAAAGGAGAGGAAGGACACATATATGCAGTTGGGCAGAGAGTGACAGAGGTTACAGACCAGCTTCAGCCCTCCCAGACTGGCAGCTCTGTATCCCCAGGCCCCAGATCAGTCTCTGCACATCACCCCTCCCTCTGTCTGGGCTCGCTCTGGTGACCTGCCCGGGGCACTGCCAGCGAGCGGGGACACCGAGACCGCGCCGTGAGCCCTCTCCTCACATCCCCAGGAAATTAATTGCGCTAAACCACTTTAGAACTGAGTTCCACGCACTCCCTGCTCAAATTCTGCTACACACAAACCTCTGGATCCAAATATATTCTTAGGTCCTGTCACTTCATACTTCTGTAACGCCATGAACAGCTCTTGAGAAGGTATTAAAGCTTGGCCAGGCAGGAGGGGAAATCTATAGGAAATATACATTGTTTCATGCCTGAGGGTCCATTCTATGGCATGTTTCCTATCAGAAGAACTGTAGTTTAATTTTGTCCTCTTCCAAAGTTCGCCTCCTTCCATGGATTGTGGTGTACCAGGGTCCTGGTCGATCTCTTTCCGTGTCATTGTTGGGAACTCACATCAGATGTCATTCCGTAAAGAACGGCGTCAGCAAGGACAAATGCCATTGTTTTAAATATACATTGCAGATGTTGGAAGTAATTAATAAAGACATGACCATGAAGTTAAAGAAAACTGTTCAGGGCTAGTGATGGGAAACGCACTATATTTCTCTAATGTCCCAGGAAAACACTTTTCTGAGAACAAGTGAGAGTTTGGGAACCTCCTCTGGTGCCAAGAGTGATTCCTTCTCAGCAGCGCTGGCTCTGTCCCACACCAGCTGTGCCTGGGGCCAGCCCTGTCTTT